AACACCGAATATCATTGGAGTCGAAAAATTCCGGATTCTTACACTTTGGAGGTGGCTTCAATTTCGGAGGTGGCTCTTCAGTAGTTTCACTATAGGCTTTTCCATGTAAAACCTTTCATGATTCAACACCGAAAATCACTCATGTTGAAGAGTTCGAAAAATTTTCAACTGGAAAATAGTTGTATGAATTACATAGGTGGCAGTTCAGTAGTTTCTGAATGGGGTTTTCCTGTTGTAACTTTCAGGATTCAACACGGAATGTTACTCAAAACGAAGAATTTCTTCAATTTTTCTCCTGGGGCATGATGGAATGAATTTCCTAGGTGGTAGTTCAGCCGTTGCAGAAAGGGTTTTCCTTTAATAAATTTCCTGATTCAACACTGCATTTCAATCAAGTCGTCAATTATTCCACTGGACTGTGGATATTTGAATTTCATATATAGTAGTTCAGTAGTTTTGAATAGAGTTTTCGAGTAATAACTTTCGTTATTCAACGCTGAAAATAACTCCAGTCGATTGATTCATCAATTTTTCAACTGGGTGTGGTTTAATAAATTTCGTAGGTGGTAGTTCAGTTGCGTCAGAAAATGAATAGAATAGAATAGAATGGAATGGAATAGAATGGAATATAATATAATATAACAAGAGCTTTGAATGGGTGAAAATAAAAGTTTGATAATTTTTTTATGGTAAGAAATTCAAATTCCGAGCAATGATGTTTTGATCCTTTACTGAGTGGCCGACCAATTTCTATAAGGAATTGGTGAGCCAATGTAGGATTACGTTACTATTTTGTCACAGGAAGATTTGCTATTTTGTCACCTACCTTAGAAATGTACAAGAGGTCGAAAATTAGCTAATAATTCTGTAGCAATATGAAGTGAAGCGAGCATATTGGCCACTTTTCAGCGGCAACGTTTTCGAAGCCAAGTGCATCCTCAGGTGCAAATTTCAAGCACCGCAATAATTAAATAGTTGAATGCTAGTTCGATTCTATAATGCACGTGATCGACTGGAATCAATTAGATTTTCCAGTACCATGCACCTAAATGAACATTTTGTAGACAAAAAACTGCGCATATTAACATTCTCGAAATTGAACTTGTAAATTTGAATTTAAATATTTTGCAATAAATTTCGCTGTTGGAGCGAACAATTGCTTAATGCTTATACAATGCAGTATACTCGCAGCCGTGGAAATAAGCGCTTGTGTCAGCTTCCCAAAGCCTTCGCTCTTATTTTTTTTAGATTATACGGACCTAGGAAAAAGTAAAATTTACGTATGCGTTTACATGTTTAAAACGCGCAAATGTAAGAAAACGCAGACATGAATCTGCGAGGAGCTATACGTGCACGAAAATATGCATGAAGGAGGAGGAGTAAATGTAAATGTAAGTAAAATGTAAAAATGTTAGAATTACGGGACGTGCATTATGCATGCATGCACACCAGGCTTACTAGATGGTATTTTTAGTTTTTTCTGGACGCTCCGCGATTGAGCATTTTTTTATTTCGTTGGCCGGCTCATATTTATGATGTCGGTACATTTTTATTGGATTTTAAAAAGCAAAAACAAGAACAATTTTTACGCCGGAACCTACAACAATACTAGCTAGTTACTGGCTTTTTTGTCCGCGGACTTAGCCGTTTTTAGGCTTATCTGGCAACCCTGATGCACACATGGAGAACATTGCTTGAAGGCAGTGCTGCCGGCGCTAGGTTAAAAACCACATGAAAACATAGCGTTTAGGTACGTAACACCCTCCACGCTAGGTTTCTCGGTTTTTAATTTACGAAGCGATCTAAATCTAAGTTTATTTGAGAATGATGCCCTGAAAGCAAAAACCAATATAACATGAACGTTTAAACTTTAAACCATATTAGCATTAATTAATTAAAATAATAGTTCTGCATAATAATATATAATAGAGTCGGACAATTCTTCAGATGACGTTGGTAGATCGAAAGGCATATATCAGGAAGTAGTTTTAGTTATTAACGACGTTTCGAATGTAACAAACATTCATTTTCAAGTTACAAAGAGCATTAAATATTGAAATTCTGGTGGAAATAAGTACATAATATACGTAAATAGGATAAATTTAATGCTCTTTGTAACTTGAAAATGAATGTTTGTTACATTCGAAACGTCATTAATAAACTAAAACTACTTCCTGATATATGCCTTTCGATCTACCAACGTCATCTGAAGAATTGTTCGACTCTATGATAATTTAAATCAACTATTTCTCTGGTCGTTAATCGCGGGCGTATAAATCAACAAATTCTGCCATCTAAAAATAATAATATATAATTGCACATGATAACATAAAAACTGAATTTTTACAATAACTAATGCCAAGAAAGTGGAAATACTAAATGTTATACATATAATTTCCAAATACATGTTCATACAAGTTCGTACAGAATACAGATTGTATAGTCGCGTGCGTTTTAAGCGTTTAAGAAAATGAAATAAAAAATAAAACAAAAAAAGATATAACTCAGCATATTGATAAAATAAAATAATAATAAATAAAAGAAATTTAAAAACAGATAAATAATAAATAAAATAAAATAATAACAAAATAAGGAATAAAATAATACAAAATAGGTGTTCATTAAAATTGAAAATATGTAAAATTGTAGTTTGTGTATATTCCTATATATTAGCGTAGTTAGGCAAAAGTTCTTTATTTATACAGGTTTGATTGAATATATTTGATTGATTTATACAGGTTTGATCCCTATATATCCATACTTATTCCTATGTGATCAATAAGGATTTGCTACTATAAATTACAAGTTAGAAATCTAGGTTTTTTCATTCAATTCTAAGTTTTTCATAGGTATATTATAGGTTTTTCAATAAATAGTCGCTGGCAGCTCTATTTGAAGATATGATGATGCGGACATGCGGTAATCAGTAGCCGTACGTATATGCGGTAATCGGTAAGCCGTTTGTCAATGTCCGTTGTCAGGAAAGGTTCAAGTACGTATAATGTTGAGTGCAGTGCAGTTGATTAGACCGGCGGTGGCAAAGCGTGGGAAAAGTTTTAATAACCTCTGAAAGCATAGATGGACTGATGGAGTTCCATTGCAAATCATTATAGATAATTGTTTCAAGAATTTTGGTGTTGAAAGAATGAAAGTAACATAACTAGTGAGTAGTGAATAGTGATGTTATCATGTTTGGCGCTGAAGAGTGAAGAATCGGCGTGATGTGGCCTGTCGCCGTCTCACCGATTCTTTTACTTTTCATGACTTGTTCACACTTCACAAGTTCACAGATCACAGGAGATCTAAAATCATGTCCTTTGACCGGATCTTTTCAAGACTGACGACAGTTTGAAATAGCTACTAGTCAGTACTTGGTACTCACTACTCAGTAGCTAGTCACTAGTCACGTAGTCACTCTGGTGGAGGTAATGGCCCGATGGGATGCGGCGTGTAGCTGGTGGAGGTAATGGGATGCCGCGTACTAGTCAGTAGTCACTCACTCACTGACACTCCGCCGGCATAGTGGCAAAGCAGAGGAGAGTTTTTAGACACTCCCTCAAGTTCATTTTTGAGTCCTATAACTATAAGTAGGCTAGTAAAGTATCATGGATACCACTTACCAGCATTATCATACTTAAGAAATTGGTTTCAATCTTGAGTAGGCTAAATGAGAAAATTAAAAATGAACTGATTCTACAAAATCTCTGGTTTGTCACTACGCAGTAGTCAGTACTCAGTACTACTCAGTAGAGTGAGTACTGAGTAGTGAGTAGACTTCCACAATCCACCTGGTTCAATATGGTAGCTAGTACTACCTAGCCTACTAGGTAGGCAGTAGCTAAGTATATAGGTAGCTAGGCGCCTAGGCCCTACCCGGCCTACCGCCCTTAGGTGCCCTAGCCTACCGAGGAACCTAGGCATTTCAAGTCCTTAATGGCTTAACCCATTAATGCTGAGAACAAGAATTATTTTCTGAATTTTTCTTTGGTTTCATGTGAGAATATTTATCACTTGTGAATTGTGATGGATTGGTAATAAATAAAAAATATGTTTGTCGATTGTTCGAGTATTCATTTTTTGTTGTACCTATGTGCAAAATTAGTACTATAGCCCGGTCAGGCTGGTCCCATAACTCCCATTGGGAACTGAGCTAAATATTTCATGATAGATCATCTAGGTACCTAAATTACTTTAGAAACATCACCTAATAAGTTAATACCAATCCATATGCAGGATGCAGCATTTAAAGTACTTACTTTATTGATAAAATTCTGCATCTAGCTCTAGCCTAACTCATGAGTCATGAATAATATATTTTTAGAACAAATTACTCACCTTCTCCGCTGGACCGCTATGATGTCAAGCCGTACTGTCTGATGACTGACAGACTGACACCTGGTTGATGGTTCTTATTTTTGAATGTTGCTGAATAGGGATTAGGGAGTACCTAGTTGGTGCCGCAGACGGTCAGACCAGAACCAAATGTTGCCAGAATATGTACAAGATGTGTATCAAACCTATGCATTCACTTGCATATTTATTTGATTACATAATTTTTTAAAAATCCATTTTTCTTTGCCTGTTCCAAATGGTAGTATCACTAGTATGGAACTGCTTGGCATTAATGGGTTAACATACCCAGGTTTAGGCCTAGGTACATTGCACAGTGTGCAGTGTAAATGTATGATTTCTAAACTCCCTTTATAGCTACCGTACTACCTACATATATGGAAAATATGTTGAAGTTTACACCACTATTTTTAGTTTTGCAATATTTCAATTGGTTTTGCTGCTATAACATTTTTACACCATGATGATGGAGGACTGTCCCGAATTACCTCACCAGTTCTTTATTATCCAATTTGATGATATGTACTAAATGTGCCAAAATGTTCTAAATGCACCAATGTACAAAATACCTATACTAATTTACTAAATCATATGAATTTCTCTATGCTCTCTCAGTCTGTAAACAATGCTTAATTTATTTCCTATTGCAGATTCATAATGCTTTCTAGTCTGATTATTGAAATTAATATGTTAATGAGAAATGTATACTCTCTCTAGATAGGCCATAAAAATAAGGTGAAACTGTTCTATTATTATTTGTACTGAATCTAGAGAGAACATCAAAATGAATGAGTTTAGTGATGTAGCAAATGCTGCTATAAAGCTAAACAAGATGGAACAATTGGCTGAACAAAATCAGGACTCTGTTGAGTTCCCTCTAACAAAGACTTCTGGAGCTGGAGAGGCTGCTGCTGAAGGTGAGATGCTCCAGCCTCTTTCTCTGCCTCTGAATTTCTCCAAATGTATTGTTTAGATGTGAAAATCAGATGTTACTATAATTCAACCTAACATACATATACATTGCTGAGATTGCATTTTGGTGTCTATGAAGGTTCAATGGGAGACAATAATAATTAAGTTAATTGTTGTTAATAAGCCATAATTTTCTTGATGTTCATCCTTTACTGTATATCATTACTGTAGTTTATTCTATTATTTTGGCATGTGTTCTAAAGGCTGGTTTCTTTGTCATGTGTTTGCTGTGGGCTGATTGTCTTGCCATACATTTGCCATGGACGGATTTTCTTGCCATACATTTGCTATGGGCTGATTTTCTTGCCATTTCTTTGCCAGCTATGGGCTAATTGTCTTGCCATTTGTTTGTTATGGGCTGATTGTATTGCCATTTGTTTGTTATGGGCTGATTGTCTTGCCATTTGTTTGTTATGGGCTGATTGTCTTGTCATTTGTTTGTTATGGGCTGATTGTCTTGCCATTTGTTTGCTATGGGCTGATTGCCTTGCCATTTGTATGCTATGGTCTGATTGCCTTGCCATTTGTTTGCTATTGTCTGATTGTCTTGCCATTTGTTTGCTATTGTCTGATTGTCTTGCCATTTGTTTGCTATGGGCCAATTGCCTTGCCATTTGTTTGCTATGGGCTGATTGTCTTGCCATTTGTTTGCTATGGGCTGATTGTCTTGCCATTTGTTTGCTATGGGCTGATTGTCTTGACATTTGTTTGCTATGGGCTGATTGTCATGGCATTTGTTTGCTATGGGCTGATTGTCTTTGCATTTGTTTGCTATGAGCTAATTGTCTTGCCATTTGTTTGCCATGGGCTGGTTGTCTTGACATTTGTTTGCTATAGGTTGATCATTCTCTCAGGCCTGTGTTGGCTGAAAGCTGATTGTGTAATCTTTGTGTGTTACTGCATGCACGCTGTTGACTGGACATTATATATCCTAATGTACACCATAATTTTTCTCATCTAGTTTATGTGTTACAGGCAGCCATGAGTCTGCACCTGGAGACTCCAGAGCAAGAGCTAATTTCAGAAAAGCTTACAAGTGAGTTACTAAAACTGAGATTTTTATCGGTCATGCTGGTCTAAAGAAATTAAAGCTACCAGAAAAGTTGACCTTATATGCAACATAGAAGCTATGTATAGGCTTGAATCAAGTCCTATGGTTGACACTGCTGATTTATATTGGGCTTCAGAGCATTTCTGTCCTCTGCCTTTGTTTTTGTCTCCTCTATTGGAAAGTAGCTAAAAAGTATGTGGAATTTTATCCATTTGTTTTTAATATTTTCATCTTGCATATTCAAGAGCCTACAGTACCTAATTCATAAAAAACAAGACAGGTTTATACTCTATAGAAGACTTCTGGTATATTAGAAAAAATATATTTTTGCCTGTCAGCATTGTCATTGAGTTGTCTAAGCCATGTTATTTTGTGCAGGTTAATGCAAAACAACACAATGGAGTTCTTAGGTCTCAGTGAAAATTGGGAGAAGGAACATGATGCCCGATGGCGCCAACAGAGGCTAAGGCTTGCCCAACGGCAGGGGCACGACCAAAAAACTGCTGAAGTTGCAGTGGAACAGGCCACAATAAGAAGAAAGTCCATGAGAAGACCACCGAAAGTGGATAGTGATGTAAGTTAAACTTTTGTTTTTTCCTCTTAATAGTTTAAAGAATGTGCAGAAAGGTGATGTTTTCAACAAAAGACAGCACAGTTTTCAACTAAATTGCCACCACCAATGTCTGTCAGAAGTGCAGGAGGGCACTGGCGTAGACGTGGTGAATATGGGCTGTGCCAAAGCTTTTGACAAAGTTAACCATGAAGTGCTTTTTGGAAAACTAAGACTACTGGAGGTGAAAGGAAAGTTTTTTTCGATGCTCCTACTAGTACTTCTAGTAGCATAGATTCACAATTCTTGACTGACAGACTACAAGCTGACGTTGCTAAAGGCTTGAGGCCGAGTGAGGTGAAGGTGAAAATTTGAGCTCCACAGGGAACTGTACCCAAGCCCTATTCACTGCATAGACGGTGAGAGCAAGCCACACCTTAACATTGTCATTTGTGGACGACATCTTGGTACTTATGACTGTTACAGACAGGGCAGACTGTTAGAGATTCCAAGAAAACCTTTCTGCAATGTTTGACTGGCGCAAGTGAACGGCATGCAATTCAACAGCACCAAGTTTTAGGTTCTGAGATACAGAGGTAGCAGAAGAGTTGGCATGAAACACTGTAACCTGGCATCGGATGGCACGAAAATTGAAGAGAACCAACTCGTACTGCTCCCAACTTCTAAAACGAGCCCTTCAAGATCGTGAACGCCATAACGAGAGAAGGAGACAGTTCCAGATACCTACCCTATGCACACGAGACCTTGAGACTTTGGCGGCAAGGACAACTTGCCTGCCATAACTAAGGCGGCTCCCCACTGTGGCCTGGGACTGCTACGCCTGAAACATACTAAAGATACTTGTTAATCAAATTCACAATTTGATTCACATCAAATTCATAAACGTACTAAAGATACTTGTGAAAAATTGTGAATCATGATATCATTGGTTTTATGAAGAGATGCCTGCAGTGGTTCATTATTGAGTGAGAAAGTGATGCTAATTTGTAGAGCATCCATGTAAAAATATTATGTGAGATGATCATTGAGGATTACACTTGATTTCGCCAAACCCAAATATGTGTCTGTAAATTTGACTAGTTGTAGGTAGTCATGTTATGATAAAAGATGATCCTCATAGATTCCAGTTAATTAGACTAAAACCCAAATATGTGTCTGTAAATTTGACTAGTTTTATTCATGTTATGATGAGAGATGATCTTCCAGTTCATTAGAATAAATTCAAATATTTGTGCGTACTACCTGACTAGTTCAAGTCATTCATCATAATACTTGGTGCTCTGACAGGTTACAGATGCTGCTGGGGATCAGCTCATTTCTGATGAAGCAGATGATGATGAGGATGAACCAACTAAAGATTCCGTAGCGTCCATCACACTTCTTGCTGCGTCCAGAGTATGTGACAGGACAGTTATTTTATGATCAGCCTGTTTACGTTTGTACATATACTTGTTTTAGCAAAATTTTCCTATTCTAACAATTTCATCGAGTTTCCTGCCCTGTTTATGCTATCAATAAAAGCTCGATATTATTAGTGCTTTAGTATAGGTAATCTAATCTGCTATTTAAAATTTTTGGAACATTATTCAAGGTAAATTTTTGAAGTTTTTAAATCCTTTTCCACCTCTTTATAGAAAATTCAACTTTGCATACATGTTACTAAATGCTTTCATTTACACTGTATGCTTTCATTCCATATTACAGCTTCTGCTACAATGTTCAGCAAATTTCATTACTTTCTACAGATAAATTAATTTTTGATTAATTAAAAATTGTAAAGTATTTTGTTTGTTTGGCAATCTTTAGACTTGACAAATAGTATGTTTAATATTACAAGTTTACGTAACTTCCTGAGTGTATGCATTCTAAAATTAATTCTATTAAATATGTTCCACAATGACCATATTTGGGTAAACTGACTGCCATTAACTCCATGTTGCTGTGTTCTGATGTACTCTAGCTTTCTAGGCCCTGGGCAAGTGGAAGAGGGCGACAGCAGAAACCAAGGCGCAGGCCACGGACACAGAGACCATAGACTTCACAGATGCCCGAACATTTCCATCCCATCAGGTAAAATGCGTTAAAAAAATATGCATAGCTGTTTGAAAAAAGTTCTTATAAGTATTCCATAAAATGTTTGTTGCAGACATCTTCGTAGTTCAAATGTGGAGCAAAGAAGATACGTATAGATCTGCTTGATTTCCATTATGAAAAAATCTCGTTTTGATTGTGGTTCCATATCAAGCATTTTATATATATAGCTATATTAAATAATATGAACTAGCTGCTATCAGTCTTCCAAAGCTCTGACAAATATCAATATGACAAAGAATACTACAGAGATGTATAATGTCCAGCATCTATGTAACCAGAAAAATTTCAAATAAATTTTTTTGTATCGAATCCCTGACGATTAGGAATCATTTACCGTACGTACATCAGCACATAGAACAGGTAATCTAGTTTGCTTGTTCTGTACACAAAAAATCCAGCAGTCGGATAAACTTTTGCAACTGACATAAAAGTTTTGAAATAACAAAGGGTCAGCTCAGACGCAAGAGATATTGATTTCAGATTTTTATCCACAGCAGCAGCCAGAGAGACCTGGGGTACGAATGTGGCTCCGTACGAAGTTGAAGATGGTCAGTGTCGTTAAGTAGATTAAATGCTACAATGAGACTTGCATGTCAAGCTTTCTTACAGTTCTTGATACAATTTACCATTTGCATTTGAAAGTTCATTATTGTATAACCGAAAAATATCTAATTATTCAATGATTGGATGCCCAGCATCACTCACATTTGGATGATTGGATTACGGTATATTATTCCAATATCACTATTAATAATGCAATAGACTGAAAATAAAATGTCATGGAAAATTTTCTGATTTCTCAGAGATGAAGCCCCGAGATTGTTATCCCATGCTGTCCCGCTCATTTAGGACAAGACTTGTTTGACTGTATAATTCCAGAAGTCTCATAACATGTACAGGATGTGTACAGGAAACAATATCATGAGCTAATATACAAATTAAAGATAGTTTCACTTTCGAAATTGATCATTTACCTTTCTGTTTGTGCGTCCGTTGTTGCACGTGAAGTATTGTTTTCTTCTTAAATTGCTACAAACATCAATATAATTTAAAATAAATTATCAAAAGATGCCGATTGTTTTTGTGCAATTCACTAGCTGAACATGATCTTTGGACGCTCTGAATAAGTACGGCAAAAAAAATTTCAAATGCATTTGTTTCATCAGCTTGTTATTAAAGGTGATAGGTAATGGTTGTATTCCTCTTCACCCAATTTCTGTGGTCGTTTGCATGAGTTTGACATGTGCAGGTGAATGATCACCATGACGACAGCTGCCCCTATTTCTCCTTGACATGTGCAGGTGAATGATCACCATGACGACAGCCGCCCTTATTTCTCCTTGACATGTGCAGGTGAAGACGACAGCCGCCCCTATTTCTCCTTGACATGTGCTGGTGAATGATCACCACGACGACAGCCGCCCCTATTTCTCCTTGACATGTGCAGGTGAATGATCACCACGACGACAGCCGCCCCTATTTCTCCTTGACATGTGCAGGTGAATGATCACCACGACGACAGCCGCCCCTATTTCGCCTTGACATGTGCAGGTGAATGATCACCATGACGACAGCCGCCCCTATTTCTCCTACTGGGTCAGCACGGTGCATATCGTTGTGCTGGCGCTTTCCATGATCCTCTACCCCATCGCGCCATATGGCGCTGGACTCAAAGTCGTCAAAGGCGAGGTACGAGTCGGAAAATTGCGTATATGAAGGTATATGGCAAGGAAAGTCTAGAAATTCGAGAAAAAAAGTTAATGTCAAGTAAAACCTAGGAAGTCGCGCTAACAAGACATCTGTCGAGGAAAGTGGGAATTCCAGATAAAAATGCATGTAAAGTCGTCTTGAGCGAGGTATTCGTGACAAAAAATACTTACAAGTTATCCAGTGTGTAAAGTCATTAGATTCAACAATGGATAGATAAAGTGACATGGATTTAGACTAGCATAAGAAATAAATTATTAAATGAAGTAGGTGTAACTGAAAGTAACTTTCCTGTTTATTGATGATGATAACCTTGTTTCATTCCTAATATTTGTAGTCTTTCAGTCTAAGTTTTTGCTCAGAATCGAAAGTTTGAATGCACGAAATTTTTACTTCTGTCATTTCGAATATCTAGTTTACAGTTCCGTAACAATTTTTCCTGTTCTTTATGACGGGTTTGGTGTGTATTTTAGTAATGAGTTTTGTGGGATATCTTCTATTTTTGGCATCAGCTACTGCTAAGAATTTTCAGCACAATGTTATTTAAAGATTTCAATTTTATTCTTTTCTGGCTATTGGATGTACCATTAGGAAGTGGTTTAAATAGTTACTTGTTGCTGGACCTTATTTTTAGTTCTGAATTAACCACTTAATAATACGAAAATAACTGCTTTAGGGCCGGCTGATCTTGGCATCTGAAATTTCTGAGCTAATTGTGTTGTCGTAAATTTAGGATAACGCGACTAAATCCCGTTTGAAGAATTTAACGAAACGTCTCGGTGTCGATTGTAGAAACTTGCCCTGCCTAGTAATGCACACCTCAAAAATTGAAAAAAAGTGCCTCTACCTGCACGGCTAACTCTGCCCTGGTACTTGCCATTCAGGGTAGAAATGTTGGTAGCCATTCGGGACTGTAGTGAATGTTACGACCATCTCGAGTGTTGAGTATTTAATTAATGTTGTGTTCTGTCAACAGATTCTGACGACGAGTTTATCACTCGAGATCATCGAGTATGAGGAGCCGGCCAACCTCTGGCTGGGTCCCAGACAGGTAATTATTTGAACATATTAAAACTATTATAGCATTTTAGAAAATATTAGAACTATTATAGCATATTAGAACATGTTCGAACTACCGTATCACAGCATATTAAAACATAGTAGAACTACTACCTACCAATAATATTAATTTCCCTATAAGAGTCCCTCCCTCTTCATTTTCCTTTTAGTTTTCTCATATCACGCGCTTATACGCCAATGGCTATACGTTATCCTAAATAATTCTACCTAATCTCATTTATGAGGATGGATTGCATCAAATGGAATTAGAGCTCTACGAATATAGGTATTGTAGGTCAAGTAATAATGATTTGAATAACTTCAGAATATCTTCATAGGTAACAGCAAGTTACTAACAACTTTGTAATTCAACAACTCCAACTTATTGGTGGTTATTTTCTATTTCAAGTATCTCTGAATGCTTATTGCGAATTTTTTTGTGACATTGTGAATGCTGCTCTTCATAACTTTTATCATTGTTAAAGGTGTTGCATAGTATAGAATGTATGCCTGTTAAAGTTACTTGTCATTACATGATAGTATTAATTGACGATTTATTATCATGTCAGGTTATTATATGATAGTATTATTTGATGATTTATTATCGTTTCAGGCGATCACTGATAGCATTCATTGATGATTTATCACGATTTCAGGCCGACCTCATCGCGCTGGGGGCCAAGTACACTCCGTGCATGCGACCAGACGCTGCCATCAATGAAGGCATCAACAAGCAACGGCAGACGGAGGCAACCACCGGCTGCTGCATACGACACGACCTGGGCGGCTGCGTGCAGACAAGTGCTCGGTGGGGGGACTGTTGAAGATTGGGTAGTTATTTTGCGTTTTTTGGTGTAATTTCATTGTTTTTTTTCTGTATTTTGGGTTTTCTTATTGTATATTAATTGCATTTTAAATATATCTCTAAAGCAATTTCTATGTATTTTAACTGAATTTTAATGTATTTTGATGTGCTTGCAGGAAAATCTGTCACACTGGGATAAGTGGACTGCCCTGGACCCGGGGCCTGATGAGCGCACTAGCGGGCCCGTCTGTGGACAAGACCCCAGGTAGGAAAACGGCCTCATGCCTCGCAACTTGAATGATATGGTAAATAGTTGCTATGGTCTATCATGTTGCCTAAGTTTAAGTCAAATCGTTATTGAGTTAAATTTAGTTGTTAAATTTTTGTATCATATTATTTAAATTGAAGTAATGCCATTATGAAAATAAGTTGCATTGTTTCCATAAATGTTGAGAAGTTTGGTTGCTCATGAGGCCTGATAGAATTAAACTGTAACAGTGAAATTGACCTCGTGTATTGAATAATGTGTGTATATATAGAGTACCTATAATGTGTGTGTATATATATATATAGTACCTATAATATAGTAATCCAAGTAATTTATTGAGTTCAAGTTAATTATCATCAGGTTTGTGTACTAAATTTTGTTCGAGTTTGTAATGATGATGAGTAGAACTTGAGGTAACCAAAAATGTGGAATTAGTGGTATATGCAAAGGATGACATCAAATATTACATTTTTTATTATGTAAAACCCACTAATTAACACAAGGTTGCAATGTGTGTGTTTTGCTGTTGATAATATTTTAATAATAACTTTATTGATAAAGGAAGATCTGATTATAATTTTATTTATTCTTCAGAGTCTGCACCGCCCCTGCCTCGGTCGCGCCCAACGTGTGGCCCGACGACATCACGCAGTGGCCCGTGTGTCAGAAGGCCAACATCTCCTTCGCGGGGCCCTCTGTGTTTGGTGGTGACACCAGCATCACGTGTGAGGTGTGTTGTGAGGGGTGACACCAGCATCACGTGTGAGGTGTGTTGTGAGGGGTGACACCAGCATCACTTGTGAGGTGTGTTGTGAGGGATGACACCAGCATCACTTGTAAGGAGTGATGCAAGCATCACATGCGAGGTGTTTTGGAATGAGGATGCTGTTGTTAGAAGGTGTATAAGTGCTACAGTAGCACAATGCAGACAGTAAAGCACATCTAAAACGTAAACTGCAGCAGAATCATTGGTTTAGTGATCTGCGTCCGACGCGGATAAAACGTACATTGATGATACACGCTGCTATCATACACATTAGTTTTTGCAGTTACATTCAGGTTCGGAAGATTGTTATCAACAACAGCACTACACACCAGCAATTCCAGTATCACCTACAATGTACACCAAGAAGTCTCTAATGCTTGTATACCGGGCAGGTTGTGGGCAGGCCGTGCTGTGTGGGCATACACGGCGAGTGCCACATCACGACACGCGAGCACTGCAACTTCCTTTATGGCCACTTCCACGAGGAAGCAACTCTCTGCTCGCAAGTGCGTCTCCACGCGCATCTTATTCTTCTTTAAATAATGGCTCTTGATCTATTTACATACTTTTTAGCTACGCTTACTCTTAACTTTAAAACTTTAGCTAAACGTAGTTGGCGGAGATAGGGAACTGGACAATTTCAATCCAGCTCACTGCAGGCTCTTAATTTCATGGCCACTGTAGGTTTATGTCACATATTCAATTGAAAAATTTCACAACAATTTCCCGCAGAGACTACGATTTTTTAATTCCTTGTTCCATTAGTATTTTTTTCTAGTCAGATTAATTATATATTCTGCATCCTTTCTGTGATGTTATTGTTTTAAACTTCAACACGTTGACTCCGATTGCTTCATCTTGTACTATTATTTCATTTTATGTACTGTTTTTAAACATGGTTGCCAGACGGTAATTTTTCCCGGACTAATTCCGTGATTTAGTGTTTCTCACTTGCGTTGGCCAGGTACTTCCTAAAATTTATGATTTGGGTACTTCCTAATTAAATTTTAAATACTGCAAAAAAAATCAATGGAATTTTTATAGCGGAACCTACAAATAAACTAGTAGATATTGAGTTATCGGCCTTTTTTGTTCTCGGATTTGGCCGATTTTAGGCAAGCTGAATAATGTACCACTACGTTCTGGAGAAATACATTTCGTGGTACGCATATGTACCACTTCGGAGTCAACGTGTTAAGGCGCTTTGGAACACTATAATACCTACCCCTTTTATTCTCCATTTACCTACCAATTATTTTATCTAAACTAAGATGCGTGGGGCTGTTGATACGTCATTCCATTTTCTACAAATTTCGAAGTTCTGGATGCTTTTTTAAGATAATTTGGGTAAACGGCAGTATTTTATACGTGTGCGCACAAATAAATGTCTGGCTTGGAGATATTTCAATTTATATGCAACTTTTCTGTATACTTTATTCGACATCATTTCAGCAAAGCTTAAGATTTATTCAAGCCTTATTATTATTTATATTAGCTTTATTATTCAGCAAAGCTATTTATAAAGCTTAATATTAACGCAGGTGCACTGCCTGAGCGACGTGTGCAAGATGCTGGCGTTCCTCAACCCTGAGGTGCCTGATCAGGTCTACAGGCTCTGGGTGTCCATCTTCATCCATCCAGGGTGAGTCCCTGTTGTGTGCACGCCATTTTTGCATAATGTAGGGGAAATTTAATGTAGAAATATCTTTTATCACCTTGCGGTCTCGCTTCATTCTCAATAATTTTTTCAATTGGATAACTGACTCTGGATGTCCGTCTTCATTCATTCGTGGTGAGTCCGTGTCTTGTGCCCGCCATTTTATCCACAGTGCATTAAGGTGTAATTTTATTCAGGACTGTCTATTAATTTATAAGTTGAAGGACTCGCTTTATTCGTACAGGTAGTTTGATTATACCGTAGGTCGAACATACAGTCTCTTGATGTAGCTATCTTCTTTATTTACAATTGAAGATTAATTTTGGTCCTGAAATGTATACTTTTAAGGATTGATCTATTCAACGGGGATTTCCAAATTATTTTTTATTAATTTGAATATTTAAGGCGAGTAATTTTTGCAAACCATTTTGTTCAGATTGCTTTTACAACCAATTTTAATTGCGTCATTTAGTTTTCTTCACTTAAAGGACAATATTTATCTTCGGGACTGTAGCAATTTTCATTGAAGTTGTAACGACACGTTTTTCTTGGCACATATCGTAGCGCAGAAGTCACTTTGGCACGTAGATGCCGAGGTTAGGATTGACTCTTTTAAATGAACAACCCTTAACCCTACAGTTGTCGCGTGCAAAACCTGACCAGATTGGCCATCTTTTCGGTCGGTTTCGTTAAGGCCGAATTTCGTAAGCGTGGACTATATATGTAATCCACGCGACCACTGTAGGTTTAATTAGCACTTTCTGTTGTGTAATTTTTTTCTGATGGTGCGATGCCTAAAAAAATTAAGCAACATACGCTTTATGGTTTGTTCAATTCGAATTTCTCTTCTTATTACTATTTTGATTTTTCTAATCACAGATCTCCCTCAATTTTTAATTAAAACTATTTTAAGAATGAAAGTCTACTCGAAGGCACATTATAACAGCTGTTTGTGTTTTATTTTTTGTAGACAGGTTAACTCTAATAACATTTACCGACTCTAAACGGCATGACGTTATTCTGAATCTTAATCTTCTGTTAAAACTTCAATGATGCAGATTGTTTCCGCTGATCTTGACCCTCCTGCTGCACTGGTTTCTTCTGAGGAACTTGGAGAAATTTGCTGGCACGGTCAGAGTCACTATAATCTACATCGTGTCTGGCATTGCGGGTAAGAAACATAGCCATTATTCATTTGTATTTGGTATGGAAAGTTCTAACTAGTGTATGATTTATGCTAAAATTTAATTGTATTCAGCACGCTCAAACCGTCCTGAAATGGATGGTGATGGTGATAGAGGTCCCATTGTATTTACAACATTTATTTTTATACACCAATATTTTGAGCCTATTGTATGTAATAACCGCCAAAAAGTACCCTCGGGCATTATTTCTCTCTCCATAATTCCTGATATCAGCATGTCAAACACCAGGCTATTAAAATAAAGAAACTCGATAAATTAATAATATTTTAAGGTATGGATGCAGGATTCTCCATAACAGTTATATTAATGTTTTTCCTTTGTGCAGGTAATTTGGCTTCTGCCATTTTCGTGCCTTACCGACCAGAAGTCGGGCCTTCTGGGTCCCTCGCAGGGATGGACACCAGGCTATTAAAATAAAGAAACTCGATAATTTAATAATATTTTAAGGTATGGATGCAGGATTCTCCATAACAGTTAGATTAATGTTTTTCCTTTGTGCAGGTAATTTGGCTTCTGCCATTTTCGTGCCTTACCGACCAGAAGTCGGGCCTTCTGGGTCCCTCGCAGGGATGGTCGGGTGCCTCTTCGTCATCTTCATTGTGGACGTGAAGGATAACATGCGTAGCAACTGGACCATTGTGGGCAAGTGGGCGGCCTTCCTAGTATTTTGTATCATCATTGGGCTCTTTCCTGGTGTTGACAACTACGCCAATATTTTCGGCTTCATCATGGGTGTTCTGCTGTCCGCAGCTCTGCTCCCTCATGTTGGCCACACTGCTCCGAACCTCAGTAATGAAATTCCTGAAGATGAGGAAGTTCAGATTTCAAGGCCCCGAAGCAGTCGTTGGTGTCGTGTCATTGTTGTTCTCGTATCTCTCTCGCTGGCCATCGTTTATCTGGTGACACTTTTCCTTGTCTTCTATTTAGTGCCTTTCGAGTGTAAATGGTGCGGATACCTTGACTGTATACCGCTCACGAGCACGCTGTGTGCTGACATGCAGACCAGCTTTGAGCGACATCAAATTATTACGTGAGACGTCTTGTGTATAAATTCAAGTAATTTGTTCCTGTCCTCTGTAATTTAGACTACTATTGTAATACATGCCTATCTGTTAATGATTGTTGTGAGTCAAAAGATAGCTGCAGTCGCCATGTCTTTCGAATGTTAACAAGTGCCTGCGAATTTGAATGTGTTAATAAGTGCCTGTGTCTTCAAGTGTTAAGAAGTGCCTGTGTCTCTAAGTGCAAACAAATTCCTACGTCCTTAAATTATAACAAATCAAAATAGTTCCTAGGTGCATTGCTTATGATTTGCACTGGCCTTTGCTAACGAATTTCAATGTACGGCGCTCACCCAGCAGTCAAGGCGAGTGCGGTGTCTACAGTATTTTTGTACTTGAACAAGCGTCGGTTTTTTGTACTTATAAGTTGTGAATGATTTATATTATTTGAAGGTTTTTCAACTCTTGCAGCTTCTCACTTAAGAACAATTTTAGTATCTTAAGTTTGAAGACGTGACTAATTTGATTTCATTTCATTGAAGACATCCTATGATTATCGTTCACTTGATTCAAGTCGTGATTGTGATTGTATTTATTTGTTGAATTGATAAATATTTGTTAAGGCCAGAGCCTCATTCAACGTTTCAAATTGCTCACTCTTAAGTCCCATTTCGATGTTAAAAACTTAATAATAGTATAGTATGTATTAATCTTGCCACATCTCTTCAAGATTATTCTTGAATTGATTATTTTTGCACCGTTAATAATAGTTAGGCATTAAATCTTGTGATCTTTGCACAAAGCCAATGTTATCAAGTCTATAATTGATGCACAATACCGCATAACATGGCAGCTCTAGTGACAGCTATACCTATAATACATACGGTAGGTATACTTATTACTTACGCGCACTGGCTTAGCAGCTATAATTTAGCCTGTAAATGATCTCGACTAACATTTTGCTGCGACTTTTCCCATCGTCGCAGTAGTAGCTCAACTAAGTGAGATGCATTTCAATTTATTTATTTTCAATTTGCTTCCATAGATTCGACGCATATTATTCGATAATTTCGTTCTTTAAATAGCTTTAAGGAAAGTTTTCAAAGAATGCTTGCCGGTCAGTCATTGCCACAGATTCCTAAGAAGTAGAAATTATTTAATGTAACAGATTTAAAGTCCAAATTGTGTGGTAGCGTTTGCGTTTTAAATTACGTATATACGTACGTGATTAGGAATTGAATGCCATAGTTTGTCTTAGTTGCCATGTGTACATGTTGCCATTTTATTTATTTATTGAAGTCGTCGTCTGATGGATCCCTGTGAGATTCTCTAAGAAAATTATGATTTTTTTTCCACGTTTAAAATAGTAAGACATTAGGTAGAAATTACGGTGATTTGTTGCCTGTGGTGTACTCTTACAGCGAAAAAAATATGGGATTTTGTTTGGATATACCAGATACACAGTGTCGTTTGTGCTAACACTTATTACAAAAGAAATCAAGAAACTGTGCACGTGTTGCTTTGTCAGGAGTAGATACGAATTGTTACGTCTTCCATGCTGCTCTGAATTCCGGCCATACTTCCTTGCCTGTCTAATCTGTGATGTCGAGGTCTTCTGCACAGGCCTAATTATTTTATTTTTAGTGTAAAAGGCGCCTCCGTGGATTAATTCTTATTGAATGAATGATGCTGTACTTGGAGTGACGGTCATTAAGGTAGCACTAGCTCAATATCAATAGAGCTTTTACCTATTGAATGCAATTAATTGATGAACGCGAGCACTAACGCGCACTTAGAAGAACCCGTTGTGATATGAATGGCATTGCTTATGGTTTTTTGGTATCAGTTAGCTTCCCTAGTTATTAATCCTTCAACCTCGGCTTTCCCTCTAATCTGTTGGTTCTCTCTAGCCACGACCCTCGTTCATTCTCATGTACGCCGGGGCCTCGCTATGTTCAGAGGCTCTAGTACAGGTTTGTCCAGATCTTGAGTTTGACAAATAGTTCGTTTCACATTCTTCTGCGCATCACGAGTGCAGTAGAGCAAAGCGATGCCTCGCTTTCTTAAGACTCAAACACGACTTGAGATCTTTGGTTTTCATCAAATATCCTTTCATTGTTTTTGTCCGCACATTGATGTACATTTGCATTTGATATTCGATTATTCGATCAGTTTATTGTTCATTATTGGGACTACTTTAATATGTGATTAACATATTTAGCGGACCATGTACTTCATCAGTATGTTCTTAGCTACATTGTTAAGGCTTATTGTTATGTTCGTGATTCAAATTGTCAATCTAAAGGTTTCGTTTCTTCTGTGTCACTATTTCAAAGACAATCAACATTTCAATATATATTAAACCGATGAAAGTGCTTCATCATATAATATTATCAGGAACATTCATTTTGAATATAACGCTAAATTGACGACCTCGAAGACCAAACAATAAGATTGCAATTGATAAATTTTGTGGCACTGAAGTTATTCTCGAAAAAATTATTCGCATATTAGGTTTTTTGTGGTTATTTAACATTTAAATTTGTAAGAGATCAAAGATGCAAGTATATAAATTGAATGCACCGCTAAATAATAATGAATTGCCTGTATTTGCATCGCAAAACTGGACATGCATTTTGCGAGTCTTACGTCATAGAAGACTTCAGAAAATATGACTTCAACCCCGACAAGAAACTAAAATATTCTTCAACTTTTTAAACTACAAATAACAAGCCCACGATAAACACCACGCTCTAAATCCTCCGCGTTTGCATAATAATTATGACTGACGTACTCAATATTTTAGGTTTATGATTGCTGGCTTGGTGTAAAATCCATGAATTACATCATTCAACATAGTATACCCTGAGCCGGAGGACGGGTTTCCAGCTCAGCGTCACCGAAAAAACGGTGTAGCCTGACTGCATCTTGTGATGCAGTAGGATGATTGCTGTGATTTGCATCCGAAGATGGTACTCCCACGACGTACACGCCACAGCATTGGGAGTGATGACTGCAAAGTGTATGACTGCAACAACAACAACAGTGATAGCAGCGTGGAGGTGAATAGAAACATGAAGACATTGCATACCACCGCAGTCGAGAGATACCTAAGAGTCGAGAACACCCAACAAGATTCTAAATGCACCTGCACCTAAAGTAAACGAAATAGAGAGGACTTTGGACCGAGGCATGAGGCGCACATTGGCGCAATTAAGGGCGGGGAAATGCCCAATGCTTAGAGAATACCTCAATAAGATCGATGAGGCTAAGTACCCAACACCATCATGCCCTCTGTGTCAAAACCACACCCACAACACACATCTGTTTGGGTGTGCTTAAATTCCAACCAGCCTACAGCCTGAAGATCTATGGAATAAACCAGTGGAAGTGTCCCAACTGATCAGAGTGTGGCAAGACCGGCTCGGCGCTCCGGAGGGGGGTGGGCCTGGGCGTCACTCATTCGAGTGACGTTGTGGGGATCATCATCACATCATTCGACATTTAAATTAAAATCTAGAAAAACTGAAGAAGCACGTGATAAAATCTAAAAGTTATGTTTGCAGTGTTCAGGACTGGTATATATTTAACAGCGAGGCAGTTACCGCAACGCGACGCAGTTGTGTGCGACGGTTCTACGACGCTCTTACTATCACGCCCAACCCTTAAACACCACGCTCTAAATCCTCCGCGTTTGCATAATAATTATGATTGACGTACTCAATATTTTAGGTTTATGATTGCTGGCTTGGTTTAAAATCCATGAAATACATCATTCAACATTTAAATTAATATCTAGAACAACTGAAGAAGCAAGTGATAAAAGTTAAAAGTTTTGTTTGCAGTGTTCAGGGGCCATACTTTCAAAAATTGCTAAGTGAACGTAAGTACTTACGCTCTATTTTTTTCTCAATGATTGGTTGATTAGGCTTGAAAGGCCGTCAATGATTGGCTGATGAACTCACGATCTCCTAACTTTTTTTGAAAGTATAGGCCCTGGACTGGTATATATTTAACAGCGAGGCAGTTACCGCAACGCGACGCAGTTGTGTGCGACGGTTCTACGACGCTCTTACAATCACGCCCAACCCTTCTCTCGCATGTTTAATGGATTTTCGTTCATATATTCGAACAGGAACCGCATTTCGTCATTTTTTATTCAATATTGGAGTAAAATCATCTGCCTATCTAGATAATTAATTCATTGTCATCTCAAAAGTAGAGGAAAGCTTATCTTGCAGTTGCATTTAAACGACATGCGCATAAGAAGCGAGATTGTAAAAGTGATGTAAAAGCACAATTGGCACTACTGGTAGATATAAATGGCATTAAATCAGTTCAATGATATATACCTAATCATGACTACCATCTCCCACACTGAACATTCTCGAAACAAGTAAAATATTGGAGATATTAGTTCGAGCCAAACCAAAACACAAACTTAACAGCCATTTTAACACGTTGACTACGATTGCTTCATCTTGTAATATTATTTCATTTTTAGTACTGTTTTTAAACAGGGTTGCCAGACGGTCATTTTTTCTGGACAAATTCCGTGATTCAGTTATTCTCAATTGCGTTGGCCGGCTAAAATTTATGATAGGGGTACTTCCTAATTAAATTTTAAATACTGCAAAAAGAAAATGAATCGAATTTTTATAGTGGAACCTACAAATAAACTAGTATATTTTGGGTTATTGGCCTTTTTTGTTCTCGGATTTGGCCAATTTTATGCAACCTGACTTATGTACCACTACGTCCTGGAGAAATACATTTTTTGGTACGCATATGTACCACTTCGTAGTCAACGCGTTAACATAAATAATCCCACAATAAATAGTATATAATGTTGGAAACGTACTAATGTCGAGCAAATCATCAAGCGACATGCAAATTTGATTCAATAATGAAGTGGCCTTGATGTATGCAGATATATTGAAGATCCATGCTCCTGGATATATATCTATCCAATCTCGTGTGATTATTCCGTGTTGGGTGAAGAGTCTTGCGAGCGACATTGGCCCACACACTGACACTCCACCAGCATTGACTGCAGCATTTGCAGGCGAGTCATGCAGACGACGATGCAGCAAGACTCCTCGTACCGAATCATCATTTGCTTCTCGACGCTCACGCTCTTCTGGTTCTTTTTCGCTGAAGGATTGGCGGTCGAAGACGGAGAGGTATCCTGGGTACTCAAAGTGGCATTTACGTCCGCGCCAACATCATTTCTATGCGCCATGTTATTTTTAGGCGAGAGAACTGACTCCAAGATGCAATGTGCTGATTTTGGTTTCGATGAACAGCAGAATACATCACTTGCACATCCGTCGCTCTGCGTGTTACTGCTGGGATTCTTTGCGAATTTGCAGTGAGCTTTATTCTTGGACTGTTTCGAATCACTGTGAACAGCATCCTCAGATGTCTTACTCGTATTTTCAAACTCGCATTGATCTGTTTCAGGAATACCACCTGAAGCATCAACTGTGGAAGTATTTCTCTCTAATAATGCTGAACGATCGTCAAAAGGAGCGTAGTCTTCATTATATGGAGATCTATTTGTTGATACCTCAGGGGACCCGGAGGCAATTCCTGCATCATATTGCGCGGAAGGCAATAAAGCTTCATTGCTACGAACCTCATGACATTTTAATCCATCACTCGCATGGTGTTGCCGAGATAAGGCGGGATCTTCGACCCGTCCTGATGCACTGGATATTGCAGATGTTGAACATTCATGTAAATTGTCCATGTTTTTATGTTGACACTCGTGCTGTTTGTTTGTGAGGTTACGACCACACTGAGACAGAACGGATGAATGGTAACGTTTTGCAGCCGCTATATAACTCACTTCACACTCGTAGTGCGTCTCATATACGCACGAACGTTCCGTAGTCCCACATGAATATTCATTTGAATTCAATTCGGCAGATTCCAGGTTATGATGACGATCTCTAGATTCAAGTGCTGGATTCGACGGGTCGTCCTTCTCGTGCGTAGAGCAATAAGTATTATTTTGTACTAATTTGCAATGCTTTTGCATAGACTCGCCACGCTTGCATTCATTTCCATGATGGAGCGAGTTTTGACGGACGGTTGAGCACTGATGTTTAGCACCAGTATTTTTGTCAACATCGGGGCAAGGATGCGAAGGTATATTCAAAGAATCGCCACACTGATGGGTTTTCTGACACAAATGAGATTGCGAGTTGCCATGACACGAGGAATGACTAGTATGACAACTAGTGCTGGTATGACAACTAGTGCTGTCATCGACAGGGGAACAGCAGTGTTCCTGATGATGTGAGCTGCATCTGTTGTGAACACATCCAATGCAATTTAAATGAGTGTGAGGGTTATGCACGCAAACAGACTCATGACCATTGCAATGATCAGCGATACAAGCATGGTTATTAATGTAACTTCTATGGCGGCTAATATCACACGACTGAAGGCACTGGGGTGCACCGCCACAGGATATCTTATGACAGTTGTGACCGAGAGGACCATTTTCTGATACTCTGTGGCAGTTTTCATGGTGATTATTACAATGAGCAGAGGATTTCAGATGAGGACTACAGCTTTTGCACATATTGTGGTAGTTGTCATGATGAGAACTAAAGTTCGGAAATGAATGGTGATGGTGATGAGGGCACGCATGATGTTGATAAGGGCACGCATGATGGTGATGAATGCAAGAAGCGCACGTGTGGTGATGTCCAGAAGCACAACTTGGATGGAGACCATCGTTTCCGTCGGTGAAATTTCCGTTTCTGTGATGTTGTGGTGCACCATTTTTGTGACAGCCATAAAACGTTGCATCTGCACTAACATTTCCATCGATAACTCTGTGATTTTTATTGCTATCAGTGCCGCAGCGGTTAGCTCTCGATTTACTCGGCGTAGCAGACGAGTTATCGACTACTTCTTCATCGTCTACCTCCGAGTTACTGAATTCTGTTGCAGAGGCTGGAGGGAATCTTGCATGCTTCTGAGGCGTTGGTGGTTTACTGATGGGATCTGAAACCTTGGGGGTTGAAACTCTGGGGTCATACGACGTGGTTGGTTCTTGACTTGCTGCTTGGGGTTGATCACTTACTGAGCTGAGGAGACTAGAGGCAATTCTCGGTCGTTCAGGCAGAAACGGAGAAAAACTCCTGTTTTCTGCTACGTTCTTTGAGAATAACGTTTGTATGGAAGTTTGGTTAAAAGACAAAGGAGAAAATTCCATCCATTCATAAGGTAATTCATCAGCAATTGTTTTTCTAGAAGGCAGTGATGCGCCAATACTTCGAGAAGCAGTTATAATTTTAGAATCCAATAGTTGTCGCAGTTTGACAAGCTCTGATAAATCGCAGTCGTTCAGCAAATTATGAGATTTCATTAGTGACGTCGAAGCGGGAGCGTTTGGAGCTAATAAAGCAAGTTCCTGCAAATTAGCCATGTAACCATCGTTTAAAGCAATGGACTTATTTGCCTCTGATGCCGTAGAAATTTCAGTTGGATTTTGATACGAGTTGATCTCCGACTGAGTTGATACCGACGGCGCAATGAGACAAGAAATACGTCCTGCATCTGCAACAGTCGAGTAGCCATCAGAACAAGAGTTAGAATTTTGGATTTCAATTGTCTCGCGTGCCGAGTTAGGTACAAATGAAAATCGGCTTTCTTTGTTGTACACAGGAGGAGGACTTGATAATAAGGATTCTAATATTTCCGATGAAGTCATTGACCGATCTTCACTAGGTCCAATTTCATTCTCATCATGGAAATAAGTTGCGTTCGTTCTTGGCTGAAATTCTGCTGTGGATTCATTAGAAATTGTTCCCGTCCCACTACCGATTTTTTCATCAACAGTTACCATAGTTTGACCAATTATTTCATTATCTTTTACAGCATTGCAGACTAAACCCGTTTCCTTCAGTTCAATGTTATTGCTCAATACTCTTCTCGCCGAAATAGAGTCAGCATCAGAATCCCCTAAGAACTGAGCTCTAGCGTTATTGAAATTAGCAGCAAAGGTTTTCCCGAGGGCTGCTGAAGAAAGCTCAGGGGATTCAATGAGTGAGCAGGCAGAACCCGCAGAGGGCAGTGTTGAAGTCGTGCAAAATTTTGGAATCCGAAAATTTTCATTTTCAGAATCTGGTTCAAACGGGGCTGAAAGACCGGCAGAATTTTCAATGACCTCAGCGGTCGTTTCGTTTGTCGATGATTGAATATTTTCGAGTTTTTCCAACACAGCACCAGAGAACAACTCAAAGTTTGATGAACCAGCAACGGAAGAGTCGTAAGTTTCATCGTTCAAGGCATCCCGTAATGTGATCCGAGGTGTCGTGAGGACACCATTACTTCTGCTGTCGTTCATGGTCTCCATTGTATCGTTCTCATCTGCAGCACTAATATCGCTTACCAAGCAGCTGAAGTCGTTGGGTGTTGATGGCAAGTCAGATGAATTTTCACTAGATGGTCTGCAGTCTGTACCATCGTCGAGATTATCTATTGGTTGGAACAGTTTTTTGTTATCAATCAATGTGGATTTTACAGTCATAGTTCGCGAGTATTCGGATGATTCGTCACGAAAGCTCCGAGCCTCGCATCCGATTTTCCTTCGCTCATCATTTTGAGTCTTCAATTTATAAGCTTGAGTTGTTGGTAACTTGAAATTGGAACAAGCAGACATAAGATTATTTCGGGGCACTTTAGTTTTCACAGCGATCTTATCTGCCGGATTTAACGACATAGAACAAGTCGTGGACGCGGCATCGGAACAACAACTTCGTACGACATTCAAGGACGAAATTGCAGAGTTTGGTCCGGAATCGAAGGTGTGAGGGTCAACAAATAATGGCACATTTGAAGCGACAGACGAAGCTGTGAAAGTTGGACTAGAAAAAACTGGCGTAACTGCTGCCCCAGAAATAGCATTTGATTCGTCGCAGTTTTCGTAGAATGAAAATAATGGAGAGCTTTTGGAATTACCTGAGCAACAAGTTTTCAAACCAACGAAGGATGGAGGTTCGTCAGTAAGTGATATTTGTCTGTCATTCGAGTCAGGCTGAGGAACAAAATTTTGAAGATGTTTTCTACGGTGTTGTTCGTTATCATCACACCCATCCGCTATGCTAGTTTGAACGTCAATGATATCACTAGTGCTCGCAACGTCACTGGTTCCTTTGAAGTCATGGATTCTTGCAACGTCACTGGTTCCTTGAACGGCATTGGTTCTTGCGATGTCGGTGGTGCTTGAAACGTCACTGGCGTTTATAGCGGGACTGGTTCTTGCGAAGTCGGTGGTTCCTGCAACGATACTGGTGCTTGCTACGGCACTGGTAGTATCTTCATTGGTTCTTGCGTCACTTGTGCTTGCAAGACTGGTTCTTGCGACGTCAGCGGTGCAGGGGTCGGCGACGGGGTTGCAGGAGCACTCATTACCTTTGCTGGGGTCGCATTGGCAGGGATCACAGCGGCAGATGTCGGCTCGAGCGGTGAGCTCCTCTAACAAGCTCGAAGTTTTCACTTGAACCGCTGTTAAACGGGAGAATGATTAAGGGGACTAAAACAGGAAAATGATTAAGGGGGACTAAAACAGGAAAATGATTAAGGGGGACTAAAACAGGAAAATGATTAAGGGGGACTAAAACAGGAAAATGATTAAGAGGAACTAAAACAGGAGAATGATTACTGAAACAATTATTGCAATTAATTCAACAAAAGTGTAAATTTTACAGTACTGCATGAACACAAAAAAATCAGAACTTATACCAAAATTAGATTCGAGTTATACCAGTTTAAATATTGGTACGATAATTCAAGCTATTAATAACCTTGTGAAAGAGCAAAAAAACCTTCATTTCTAACGGAAAAAATTTAATCTTACATGCATCAACAAGATCGAAAAAAACAGTGATCCAATGTAACAAAGCGGCCTTCAAACAACAGAAAATGTCACGTTTGTTTCGGAATCGGAGGTGTGAGGGTCAACAGACAGCAGTTCTGATGCGACAGACACCGTCTAAGTCGGATTAGAAAAATTTGGCTCAATCTAAATCCATTACAAACATGTTAAATTAAGTAGTCTCAAACCTGTTGTGGAATTAGCATCAGAACAACAGCAGCCTCCTTTGCTAGAACTTGTCTTGTTGCTGCCACTAGTCGCTCTGTTGCCGCCACAACAACCCTTACGTCTGCCCGCGGCCACAGCGTCTCGACTCCTCTTGGGACTTGCGCTATCCGCGCTGCCGAGTGATGGCGATCGTTTACGTTTCTGGAAAAAAAATCAAAGTTCTGAACGGCTCAAAATGAGGCTTCAACAAAATTGCTTGGTATTATTTCAATCTGTAAAATCGTAGTCAATTGATAGCAGCAACATAACTGTAAAGCAATCTCATCGATTTTAGTCTGGCAATAACTGTTCTATGGAAAAAACAACCCGAGTATTCTTTAAATGCTCTACTGGTTCCAAGAATAAAGTACCCAGTTCTTCCTTGTTCATTTCAATATGCTTCTAAATTATGACATTTCAAATTTGATGTTGGTAATAAATCAACCGACAAATGAATATAGTCAGTACCTCATTTACAGTAACATTTTTTTATAATAAAATATTTTTAGCGCGTTTCCAGGTTGCTTATCAAAGATTGTAATTACCTGATCAGCGGAGAGGGTTGAAGCGCCAGGCAGCAGAGCGTCATCTGTGTCAGAGATTTGTTCATAAAGACAAGATGCTGGTGAGAACGTTGGATTGATCTGAACTAGAACACACCAGTCCAACAAATCTTAAGTGCAATTAATAAACACAGCAAGAAACAGGAACTTCACCGCTTGCGAGAAACTAGAATCAGCTCCCTAAGCAGAAGAGAGAGAAAGAGGTAAAATACTTAAGAGGAAATGATGGTTTACTGCTTAATAAAAAAAAGGACTAACAACTCAAGTAATATAAAAATAATTATAGTAAATACATGCCATACGCGGTACCTTGATGCAGTTTCCTGTGTCGCGTGAGCTGGTGAGGCAGCGCGAAGCTCTTGCCGCAGAGAGCCACGTCGCACCTGACGGCGACGCGCGAGTAAGAGTGTATGCAAGTGAAGCTTGTACAACGTTATTATTTACCGATTAGCTGTTGTAATAATATATAGATAGTAATAATATATATATATATACAACATATATATTAATATATATATGTTGTAATAATATTTATTTCAATAATATATATATATATTCCGGACTATAACATGAATTTTACGTTATATTTAAAATATTTATAGAAATTAATAAGCTGTAAATAATAAAGATTTAATCGCATAAATCAAAGGCGAGTAAGAGTGTATGAAAGTGAAGCTTATACGTGATAATAATATACCGATTAAGCTATTGCCTGCATGAACAATAAAGACTGTAACTTGAATTGAACGTTAAATTTATAGAAAAAAATACGCTGTAAATAATAAAAAAGATAACCGTGTAAATCACGGGCGTCATGAGTAGATGGAAGTGATTCTTGTACAATAGAACAGTTTACAATAATTGAACTATATCTCGCATTCTCAATAATGGCGGAAGCTTGAAGTCAGCATGCAATTAATATAAACTACCTAACTGAATTATAAATAAAGATGTAAGACATAAAAATATTCGTAATAAATGTTTATTAGGGAAAAACGATCAATCGGTAATCGTGGTGTGACTAACTTTCAAGACTCGTTAGAAAATAAGAAGTTTTGATTCTATGGCCTTTGAAAAAAAGTGTGAGTCATTTGAATCGCTTGTAATATATTCAGAAAATGAAACTAAGCTAACATCCTAAGTATAGATTCATATAGCCACAAGAATACTGAATATTAGCTCATTTAGTTGCAAGTGGTAATTTTTTCGGTAATCCAGAGCGTGTGATCCCGGTACTTGTATAAAAAACAAAAAATTCGTCAAAATATCTTAAATGAAAACTGGTCTCAATGTCGTTTTCATGGAAGATATATAATAAATTTACTGAGCTTTTATTTTTGCTATTAAATTCTTGATGAACTTTCTATTTAAGAAGATTAATTATTTAAATACTTGTATGGTTTTTCTCCGGTGTGGCAGCGTTCATGTTTGCTGAGGTCGGAGCGAGTCGTGAAGGACCGAGCGCACCACGAACAGTTGAATGTCTGGCCGCTGTGTACGCGCTGATGTGCACGCAGTCTGCACACAAGTCTGTAGTGAGACTAGTCTGTACACAAGTCTCTAGTGAGACTAGTCTGCACACGAGTCTGCCGTGGGCCCGTGAGACTATAAAGACTGTAACATGAATTTAATGTTAAATTTAAAGAACTAAATACACTGTAAATAATACAGACTATGGCTCAGCGGCCATAGTCTGCACACGAGTCAGCCGTGAGACTAGTCTGCACACGAGTCTGCCGTGAGACTATAAAGACTGTGACATGATTTAATGTTACATTTAAAGAACTAAATACACTGTAAATAATACAGACTATGACTCAGCGGCCATAGTCTGCACACGAGTCTGCCGTGAGACTAATTCTTAATTTATATTGTCGGCTGTCTCGTCTCCTAATTTTCGTTTGATGCTTTAAATTCACTAAGAATGTTGAACTTTAAGAATAAAACCGTTTTATATTTAAAGTGAATTATAATGCAAAAGTTCAATTTTAATAAATCGCGATTCCCACTTATGAATCAAAAGGAAAAAATTTAATGGCCCTGATGAGTCCAGGAGTCTTTGCTTGAGGTATTCGAAGTATACGTTTACGATATAAATAAATACAATACGACTACAGAAATCTTCCTGAAGTCTTAAATTCCCTAGACTTCTGCTGGATAAATTGCGCCCTTTAAACAGAGAACAATGGACTAAAAATATATGTAGTTCCCTTAACTTCTGTTAAATAAATTGCTGGCTCTAAATTTGCGCGAAAAATGCAAATAAAAAAGATATGTAGTTTAGCAGCATTAGTCTCATCATTACTAGGAGTACCCAGGCACCTGTACTGCTGGGTGAAGGTCTGCCCACAAGACTCGCAGGTGAAGGGTCTGCTCTGGCTGTGGGTGACCACGTGAGTACGGAGTGCGTAGGACGTCAGGAAATGCTTGTCACAAACGTGGCAGCGATGCTGCAAGTCTCCTGCACATATACACTTTATCAAGCTTCCAATACATGAGTAATTTCAACATCAAATTATTAGACTTTGAATTAAAATTATACATTCATCAAAAAATTGTGAGTTGATCCCCAGATTTAAGCACGCGCTCTGATACATTTCAAAGCAATATGCCGACGAAAACACAGATTTTTTTCAGCTTAGGACTATGAAAGATTACCTAGATATTTAGTTAAGAAATTGTTAATCGAGATACTTGGAGTAATCCCAACATCAAATTATTAGACTTTGAATTAAAATTATACATTCATCAAAAAATTGCGAGTTAATCCCCTAGATTTAAGCTCGCGCTTTGATAAATTTCAATGCAATGTGCCGACGAAAACACAATTTTTTTATCTTATGACTATGAAAGATTACCTAGATATTTAGTTGAGCAAATGAATCACTTGATATAAAATCATCTTTGCTTCTGGAAGGTTGCAGCCAAATCACAGCTTTAATTATATGATTGCAAGTTTTTAAAAAATTAGCAATGTCAGAAAGAAAATCATCTATTTTTATCACACATGCCCTCTAAAAAAACATACGCACGCATAAGCATAAAATACACCCATGTTGTATTACCCCTGACTAGTATATTAACGTATATTTTTATGTATTTATCCATTAATTTTACACGTCTATTTATATTACATACAAGATTCTCTAGTCAATAATGTCACGAAAATGTCACGATAAATTTTTCCTTGATCATTCATAACTTATTTGTAGAAAGACCTCCACCAAGCCATCGTCTCAATAATGAAATAATGGAATAAAAAATTAATAATGAAATAAAAAATTTCATAATAATGAAATTTTTGTGGACTATTCTTTGCTTTTAAATTTTTAGTGAAATAAATAAGTACCGCACCTGCATGAGTGCGGGCGTGGGTAGCAAGGTTGCCCTTCGTCGAGTAGCTGCGGCCACAACCTGTCTCAGGGCACGCAAATCGTGCGATCTCAGCGGCCATCAACAACTTTCCTCATCATCATAACTTGTCTGGGAAAACATTTATTATTAATTAATAATAATAAAACATTAATTCCTTAACCGCCTCGAGAAAACATTTCTTATTAATAAATAATAATAAAACATTAATTCCTTAACCCCCTCGAGAAAACATTTCTTATTAATACATATCTTGACTGCCTCCAATTAAGAGGGTGATCTCAGAGGCCATCAACAACTTTCCTCATCATCATAACTTGTCTGGGAAAACATTTATTATTAATTATTAATAATAAAACATTAATTCCTCAACCGCCTCGAGAAAACATTTCTTATTATTGCATATCTTAACCGCCTTCAAGAGCGTGATGATAATATTCAATCTTATAGAATTCGTAATGTTTTTTCACAAAATGAACGCGCACTGATGAATTGAGGTCATACTGTCCCTCAGTTCATGATAAAATCATCAAGTCAATCGATGGATGAGCATGCACGAGTTCAGTAAGGTTGATTAGATAACTTGGATAAGATTAATTAGATAATCTACATTAGATTAAGTAGATAAGTCAATCTTCAGTGAACAAAAAAAACTTCTCTGACCAATGATAGGAAAGAATTAAAACTAAGATCTTGACGTTGGTGACAGGTTGACAACAAAGTATCCGTATTGATGTACAAAGGCCCAAGTGGCCTCGTTGGTATCTGGAGTTCATTACTGCAAGTGATATACGAGTACCATCACTGTATGAATATATGTATTACTATGTTACTCATTTATTCACCCATAAAGCCTAATTTTTACTGGTAAAATTGCACAGCGTTATTCCTCTTTCAAAATGCGTTCATCGAAACATTCTTTCATATTAAATTACAAATTAACACGTAATTAATATTTTCATCATTATTGATTATGAATGCAATCTGATATTAACTTTCACAAAAATGGCTTCCAAGCTAATGCCATATACATACCATGTCAAAACATCACTTCTATTGTACTTCAATTTAAATAACATCATTGTGAATCATTTCATTTCCATTATACCACTTGTATGATCATAAACTGCTTTTTACATTTGAATATTCGTGTTACTCGACATTTAAGCGAATAAATATAAGAAAAATATAACTCAGTACTCACTGCAGTGAGTGACAGAGAGCGCATTTTCTCGTCGACGAAAACTTGAGGTCACGGACAGACGGACGAACAGACGGACAGACAGACAGACAGACAGACGGACGGACGGACATGACCAGCACAATAGTGCATTTTTTCCATAAATGAGAAAATGCGCTAAAAATTTGCTGTAATTCAGCAAGAAAAAGACTCGGGATCCGGGGGACCTCAGCTCCCCTAGTGCAGACAAGGCTCGCCAGCTGCACCCCCTGCGGCGTCTTTTCTGTCTTATAATAATCAAATATTACGAATATTGATATTTTCATATTGATTTATTTTTTGCAATAAAAATATTTTTATTGATATTTACTAAATATTACTAATATTGATATTAATTTAATATTATAGATAAGAATATCTATACTCTCATCTTGCATTTCGGTGGTAAACCCACATAATAACCTTCATCATTGGTCGATCGGTGCAACGAGACGAGCCACAAAGACGTTCAAGTTTTCATGTCAGGGATCACGAATACGATGTATAATTGTATCACAATATATAAATATTTATTAATTTAATTAAACTTTGCACACGTAGACACACTTATAACATTTAGGACGTAAGATAAGACTTAATGCTAGCTATGAGAGAAAGCCACTCGTGAGCTGTACGTAGCTATTACATCTACTTAAAAACTTGCGCATTAAATGTCAAGAGATTTTAATTTATTTTTGTGCGAACGTGTAGGTGAGCAAACTGATTAAAACTCACGAAAAAAATTCTTTAAATATTAGATTAAATCTACAGGAAAGGCTGAATTTTTTCGTCTTAATATTTATGTGCGGTAGCTAAAGTGAATGTGAGGCTACGGGGCCAAAGATTATGAAATAAAATGACTCATGTGATAGTTTATACTCAATTATTCACTTGACCTGTCAAATATCACGGTGAATATTTTGAAGTATAGGGTCGAGTATAGTATGATGAAGAGTCTAATATGGCATTAATTTGCGATGACAAAAAAAAATGTGAGTAACACATATTTAAAGACGTGTACAAATAGATAATACATCGTGTACAAATACAAAGATCGACACACACGCGTGGAAGCAACGACTAGAAATAACATCAACATATAGAAATGAACAACATTTGTAAACGTGATCACAAAGATAAAACGCAACATAAAATGAGAACATAGAGTTGTTACGAGAACATAGAGTTGTTACGAGAACATAGAGTTGTTACGAGAACACAGAGTTGTTACGAGAACATAGAGTTGTTACGAGAACACAGAGTTGTTACAGAGCATTTGAACGTTCCTCAAATACCAGGAACATCTGTCGAAATATGCCACGTCATTGCTGACTGAAGGCGAAAATATAATTTATTGTTATTAATTGAATCAAGACACTGCAGTCGTATTATCAATATATTGGAATGTAAATAAAAAGGAGGTTCGTAAGAAAGTAATATCTTAACCTTAACACGAGATGCAGTTCGCACGATAATATTGATATTAAAATTTTTGGTGCGTTTTACAGCCTGAAATAGACGCTTGTACTAGAAATAGAATGAACCTTGAAGATGTTTTGAATTCAAAACGGACGGTTTAGTGTTTGCAGTACAAATACAAGGATTTCGAAGCATCAGAGTCTCGGCAATATTTAGGATGCTGGAGTTGCGAATAAATGTATGAATGAGGTCTATAAACATTTTTCTTATTGACAGACTAACGCAGTGAATTTCAGATACCGGTAATCCAAAGTATGAAGAAATGTTCTATACATATTTCGTATTTCCGCTATTTCGACATGTGTACGTGTAGGAATTATACTACGACGTAGTAGCACCTATGCTAATGTACGTCAACATTGTCAAAAATTAGTAATGTAGATGAAGATAAATTAAAAATGGGCTCGAACACTATTATTCTACGCGAAATATACTGGAGGACTCGAGCTGATTGAAGCAATAACGAACATATGAAGATGGGCAACAGTTTGCAAAGCAATAGATTCTCTTAACCCATTTCTATTCGTCAATTAGAGCACAATATACCATGGGCATTACGATAGAAAATTCTCTAATGCTACCTATATCGATCTATATTTAATTTGAACATTGTTTTTAGCCATAAAGGAAACAAGAACCTCGCATGTAACAGCTCGAGTAAAGGAATGAATGTCTAATACGTAAGGCAAAATAGATAGAAGGTTTGTAAACAAATTAAGCAAGAGTGATTCTTTGGCTCGTAAAGAGTGAATAACGCACGGCGGTAATACAGATGAGGGAGAGAACAAACCGACCTAGAAATGATTGCATACAAATGTACATAAGTCGGTGTGTATAAAAGCCCTAAAATGATGTAGACAAACGTAAATCAGAGACATAGCCGACAGTAATAGTGAGAATAAAGAGCCCTTAAATAGTTAGTGGAATTCAGAACTTTCGTTCAGGCTGCAGTCGAGATCTGAAACTAAGTCAAAATACCACCACGCTTATTACGAACGCTACGGGTAAACTTAGCACGTATTAAGACACCGAGTTCAGGTAGACGATCACGAATATCACGGGCTTGTTCTTTCTTAAAATTAGTATCTTAATGGGTGATTAGTATTAAGTTGATCGATCGCACCCGATGATATTTTGGTAGTTTGGAAGTGACAATATAAAGTCTAGAATGACGACAGAGGTTCTATATTAACTAACCACCGATATTTTGTTTATAAGAATATACGACCACAAGAAATGCAGTGAACTTGAAAGTAACGAGTGCGGTGAATGCCAAGGACAAAGAATTAAGGAAAATTAAGACTAAAGAGAGCGAGGATCTTTGAACGAGCGTTCCAATGGCGACAAAAACCAATAACACATGAAAATTGTTCGTAAAAAAATTCTGAGAAATTTCTTTAAAATATTTATAGGAATTTCACAATATTTAATGGGCCAGATAAATAGTACATAAAAACCTCAAAATAGATCAGGAATAAAGGAGCTGATAATTCCACTCTCTTTCAATCACAATTGCATGATTGAATGTATCGGCCACAATGGCGAGGATAACCATACAAAAATTCGGTGACATCAAATTAAAAAAAAAAATCCTCGGCGATATATAAAAACGCGGGAACACGATGACGCATGAAAAAATACGTACGTGGTGAAATATGCTTGCCCAGATAAAAAAAAATTATAAAAGAACATTGAAAATCTAAAGGAATCGTTAAGACACAAAAATGGGGTAAAGATCTTAAAAAGGGGTAAAAATCTAAAAGAGGTGTAAAAAAATGAAATTTATTGTAAAAAGTGGTAAAAAAATTCTAAATGACAGTGAAGAGTCTGTGAATACCTAAAATAACTTGTGAAAGAACAGTAAAATTAAAGGCTTTTCGATCGTAAATATTTGTCAATCTATGAGAATCATATGATTTGCCCGAGTACGTTTCGTAAAAAAATGTGGTCCGTAACTTAAACCAAAACTCAATAGATTATTGTTAATAAAGAAGTTTCAAATTCGTCTTTACTTGAAAATTAATGGAGTACAAGAAGTTCAGATCTAGTCAGAAGGAAAGAAATAACAATATTCAGTCATTAAATTAAAAAGCTTGAGCGCTTAGCATTTAATTGCGTTAGTTCACCGCACTGTCCACTGAGAGCAAAACTTTCGTCACCAGGCCTCCTGACAGGTATGGCGGTTGACGAACCGATAGTTACAAGGTTCAGCTGATGAATTAATTCAGCGGGACGACTATCAAGGCAAACAATCCTGGATTTGTTTATAAATACCGAGCACCAGTTGGATGCCGACCCGCACTTACGTTCCTTGTACGAACACATGATCGTTTAACAAATCACGAACACTGATGTTATAATAGTAAAAAATTATCATAACATAATCAATTTCTCCGCGGGTTGTTTTACCTGTTTTTATTTTTTCTGTTACGAACTCTACGATTTGGTGGGAGCGAAACACCAGATGAATTAGAAATACTAGGCTCGTTTGTAGGAGAATTCGATTGTGCAACATCAGGTTTCTCATTGAAACATCCATCAGCACTAATGTCATGAGAAGGCTCAACTGTAGAGGGAATGTTGTGTTCCTGCACGTTTGTACGCTCTTCATTTACTATACCAGGTTCGTTAGATGGGACAGAGCTCCAGGATTCGGTTGCCACGGCCGTTGACCAAGTCTCAAAGTCAGGTTCGGCAGACGTCAAAAAAGAATCTTCCTGCTGCAGACGACTTTGGTTATCCGAACACAAGACTCTGTCAGGTTGTCCAGTATCTGAAACTGAATTTAGGGCAGAAGGTGAGCTTGGATATTCTGAACTTGGGTTAGAAGAGGGATCTCTGGTAGATGTGGTTACTTCTAAAGCCGAGTTGTAGCTACTAGGAGAAAACTGTTGGCTGTTCCCCAGACAAGGATTGCAGTCATCGCCACTTGGGCTGAGAGAGTCGCGGAAAGATGGTCTTCTTGGGATAAAATTTAACTCGCCTTTTTCTGTACCGTTTCTTTGCATGTCATTGGATAAATAACCTCGATCAGCACTTTCATCCTCATAACTCTCGCCTGAATTGCTATCGTCGATTGTATCTTCATCCACATCAGGCAAGAAGGAATCGTTGTGTTGATTTTTCGAGTGAGGAAATTGTTGAGGTGCTTGGTTGAGAAGAGAACCAGGCACTACTTCACGATTAGGAGGAGGCGTGTTCGCGTCGGAAGGCGAGCTAGCAACGGAAGCTCGCTTGCGCCGCAGCACCCAGGGAGCGTTAGCTGAACCTGAACCCAAAATAGAATTTTCCATAAGCCCGGAAATTGGGCAACAATTCCTTGGAATTGGGCACAAGGCAAAATTAATATAAATTTTTCACACATGACTCGCGGTTTGCCTCATTCATACAACAGTAACAACCTTGAGCACAACTAAGCTCTCACGGATTCCAAGGCTCGTTCATGTATGGCAAGAGTTACAGCCTGTATAGTAATAAAAGTTAGAACAGATCTTTCACTAATCTAAATAGATATTTCACTAACACTAATCTAAATGACTTGTACTTGAAGCTACAACCCTGTACCTGCAGAAGGCGTCTCAGTGGATGCAGAAGCTGAGGATGGATTTCTCCAGGAACTGTCGATTGCTTTATTGAAGGCTGACTGATATGGATCAGCAATGCGCATTTGCTGCTGGTATTGCTGCTTAGCCTTCTTCTGGTTGTACGTACGGAAGGACTTGGAACCAAGACGCGACGTAGAATATTCCCTGTTTAGGCCTTGGCTGATCCCTGTAGGCCTGGGTCGCGAGCCTACGGTGAAGTCAGCGTGTGCCTGTAACAGGAAGGGGATAATGAGAGAAGATGTAGTCACAGTAAATGGGTATTGCTGGGCGGAATAATCGCATTTTTAGCGCATTTTCTCATTTATGGAAAAAATGCACTATTGTGCTCGCCATGTCCGTCTGTCTGTCCGTGACCTAAAGTTTTCGTCTACGAGAAAATGCGCTCTCTGTCACTCACTGCAGTGAGTACTGAGTTATATATTTTTGAAGATTTTGATAGAATTTAACATTTGTAATCAAGAGCATATTTCAATACAAATAACAAGTTAGCAAAAAAAAGTAATAATAAAAATAGAGTTCAATTATGATTATAACGGATAATTAGACCAATTCTGGGACGATAAATTATCATATCTTAAGCACTATAATATTACTCGATGAATTATTATATCTTAAAGACTATAATTTTAATATTACTAATTCAGCAGCCGCATGAGACTTTTATAAGCAAGAACATATTTTACACGTCATGAGGTAATTTGAACATTCATTTGGCATAAATTCTATATTTAAAACTGAAAGTAAAATATAGAAAAATGTCGCACCATCTTGCACACTCTTCGTATGTAGCTGCGACAAGAAATAAATGCACGAGAAGGCACACATCAACAAGTTTCTAGGCACACAAACATTTTGATCCAAATAAGATTTAATTCCATTAGCATCGCACGTCAACGAATAACATTGTAAACCATGGCATGACCTTTAAAACGCAGCAAACGACAAGCACATGAACAATGTAGCAAAGCCTTGTTAGTGAAGATATTGGACACAAACAACGAATGTTTGTATGGTTAGAACAAATGTTGATGTGGATATGTGTTAGTGAAGATATTGTACACAAATAACGGAATGTTTGTATGGTTAGAACAAATGTTGGTGTGGATATGACGGTCTGTGCAGACACGACGACAACACGAGCGTTAGTTATACGTTGAACTTGATTGGTAAATGATAATGGGTACAAATTTATGGTAAATATGGGTATATTTATAGATTGGTAAATTTATGGGTACAAATTTATAGATGGATTAAGGAAACAAGCTTGGTGATCCATGTTCACTCGCATCAGCAAAGTGAAGCCATTAAGCCATTCAACAAACGCAGTAGCAGCATTCTAAATATTTCTTCAGCAAGTAGTATAGATACAAAATACAATCTAAATCAAGCGATTTAAAAACAATTTTTACATTTATCTTGACACTGCGCTCGAGTTTTGAAATGGCGTGCATATTTAGGTACGTATCATTAATTGTCAAATTCGGTAATGAATCTATTCAAAACTGTTGGAATACTCTAAATTTATGATAGATAAAACAGGAAGTTGAAATTGGATATTGAAATTCACGCAGCATGGCAGTAGGTAGTCGGGGTATATGCTGGGTTTGACAATGAAAAGCTTAAACGAAGACAAGATCACAATTAGAGGAGTGCACTGAAAATACTGAACTGAAAATACTACACTGAAAATGCATGATAGCCGCCGTTCACATGCACAGATTACTGATCAATGAATAGTCATACAAGACGCAGCATAGTACACAGAAACTATGCAAAATGTTTAATGCAAAGACAAGGAACCACAACAATTACTATTTAGGACACACGATCAATAATGGAAAGATACGAGTGATACACTGCATAAAGTTAGGATCATGAGCTATAAAGTTATGATGCCAGTAAACGTTGATCAGAATCGAGATAATTATCAATAAGATCATGTGGCCAATTGTCAATGCGCATTAAAATTATGATACCAATAAACTTGTGTCGTAATTAATATAGATTAGCAATAGGACCATAAGGCCAGTGAACGTCACTCAGATTATTACTATAAATCTGATGATAACAATTCATCCAAATGCTCTGTAGCTTCAGTGTTTTTCTGACAAGTCCAGCTAAATAGGACTAGTCAAAGATAACCCCCACGCAGGGTTGCAAAAAAATATTTTTAGGATGATCTATTTTCTAAAAAGTGACAAAATGAGTATCTTTCCATTGCTGATCGAGCCCAACACATTCACATTAACATTGATAACCTGAAGACGTCTTACCTCCGACGACCCCTCGAGCTCAGAATCTGATACCAAGTCAGGCTGAGGGACGAATGCCAAGAGATATATTGAAGACGGAATTCTTGTTATATTATTTATAATTGTTATTAATGATTTTATAATTGTTATAATAATTGTTCAGAGACCATGTGCGTGCGTTATTAGTTGCTATATCATTACTTTAACCTCCTTAACATTGCCCTTTGACACCAGAACCTCCTAAACCCAACGCCTTCAATCGAACTAAGAGTAATAATTACCCAGTAAAAATATGCTTTGCCAACTTATAAGGGGCAAAATACCTTTTCGTCGAACAGGTACCTTATTATAGTCATTGGCTCTTTAAACCCATAGTTAATAAAACCTAAAGGGATTTCACTGGCAACATCAATGCTTACAAAATTGTTAAACAAAGGAAAAAAGTAAACAAAAAGTATTGAAAATATAGAATAATAGTATAGGTATGACTACAAGAAGTGTATAGGTTAGATAAGTACAACTTTGCGATGATGACGTTGAAAGAATAGCAGCAATAAATATCGATCAATGAAGATTATTATATTAAAAAAATTTTAAATCATGAAAATCTAATTCAAATACCGGTAGTCAGCTGAAGAACACAGAGCGAATAATAACACAATTAAATGTTTAGACTGTGAGAATATTATCCGAAAATATGATAATGTTTCATGTAGGAAAATATATTTTTATGACGAACCATAAATTCATACAAAGCTCATGGATGTTTCGCTTACCGCGAAGAGTTCAAGTAAGACAAATACATTTTTAACAATTTTTTATCCATCCATTTAAAGCTCGCAAAAGTATCGCTTACAGCAGAGGGTTTGTGAAAGACGATTCGTGAATGAATGAAGAGTGAGGAGTGAATGAAGAATGATTCATGCACATGAAGTTCACCACAGGTTTTGAAATACGCAAATATTTTTATGAGCAATGATGTCTGCAAAAGAGATAAGTAATGACGCCTCCAAATGAGATAAGTAATGATGCCTCCAAATGAGATAAGTAATGATGCCTCCAAATGAGATAAGTAATGATGCCTCCAAATGAGATAAGTAATGATGCCTCCAAATGAAATAGGTAATGCTGCCTCCCAATGAGATAAGTAATGACGCCTACAAAAAAAAACCTCACCGCGGAGAGGTCATGGAAGACGTGCTTGCTGGGGTAGTACTTGGCGAAGGCGTGGTCGTGGCGGCAGCAATGCATGGCCCGCCACGTGTGGTGCACCAGCAAGGGGAACCGCGACGTCCAGTAGTGCAAGAACTCCACGGGCACCGCCCCCATCACTGCCTGCACCGTCGGGTGCAGCTCCTGGTAGTGTGTACGCTGCGGGGGCACATAGCGGGGGCTTGAGCGTAAAGCATATAGGTAGTAAGGCAGTTTTTCTACAGTAAACTTATTAAACTACAGTAAACTCACTAAACTACAGTAAACTTATTAAACAAAATAAGTAATATTAGTTTAACACTTTAACTTAAATTTTTTAGATATTACCTCATTTCGCACAGCTCTACTCTACCCACAGCTGGTACCTTATTGCGTACAGCTCTGAGCAGGTGATGCAGGTACCTTATTGCGTACAGCTCTGAGCAGGTGATGCTGGTACCTTATTGCGTACAGCTCTGAGCAGGTGATGCCCGTACCTTATTGCGTACAGCTCTGAGCAGGTGATGCTGGTACCTTATTGCGTACAGCTCTGAGCAGGTGATGCTGGTACCTTATTGCGTACAGCTCTGAGCAGGTGATGCTGGTACCTTATTGCGTACAGCTCTGAGCAGGTGATGCTGGTACCTTATTGCGTACAGCTCTGAGCAGGT